CGTTGTCATCATCCACCTCCTCCTCCCCATCGTCATCTGCCATCTCCTCCGCCCTGTCATCTCCCTTCCGCTCCCCGTTATCATCTTCCCCCTCCTCCCTGTCGCCATCGTCCTCCTCCTATCGCATATCATCTTCCCCCTCCGCCCTGTCATCTCCCTTCCGCCACACCAGCTTTTTTTTTTTTTTTTTTTTTTGTCGAACTTCGAGGTTCGAACTTCGAACCTGCCCGTCGTCAGCTGCCACCTCCTCCACCTCCTCCTCCCCGTCGTCATCTGCCACCTCCTCCCCGTCGTCATCTGCCACCTCCTCCCCGTCGTCATCATCCATCCTCCTCCTGCCCGTTGTCATCATCTACCTCCTCCTCCCCGTCGTCATCTGCCATCTCCTTCGCCCTGTCATCTCCCTTCCACTCCCCGTTATCATCTTCCCCCTTCTCCCTGTCGCCATCGTCCTCCTCCTTTCCTCCTTCCCGTTGTCGTTGTCTTCCTCTTCCTCCTCCTCCCCGTCATCATCGTCCTCCTCCGCAGCAAGATCTTCGTCCACCTCCCCCTCATCATCGTCGTCGTCCTCCTCCCGTAATCGTCTTCCTCCTCCTCCTCCCCGTCGTCATTGTCCTCGCTCTCCTCTCTAGCACCGTCTTCCTCCTCCTCCTCCCCGTCATTGTCTTCCTCGTCCTCTCTGCCACATCAGCTTTTTTTTTTTTTTTTTTAAGTCGAACATAGCGGTTCGAACTTCGAATCTGGCCGTCTCTGCTGCCACCTCCTACACCTCCTCCTCCCCGCCATCATCATCCACCTCCTCTTGCCCGTCATCATCCTCCTCCTCCTCCTCCCGGTCATCTTCCTCGTCTTCCTCCGTTGTCGTCGTCATCATAGTCGTCCTCTTCCTCCCCGTTGTCCATCTGTTTCCTCGGCCCCTCCCCAATCGTCTTCCTCGTCCTCCTTCTGTTGCGCTTTTTTTTTTTTTTTGGGCACGTCACATTCCGAGACGGACACGTGTCTGTTGGGGAGAGAGAGAGAGAGAGAGAGAGAGAGAGAGAGAGAGAGAGAGAGAGAGAGAGAGAGAGAGAGAGAGAGAG